AGGAAAGGTTAGGGTGCAGATAAAGAGATGGGCATTGCAAAAATATTATAATAGTCTTCCCCTATCTAGTGAATTCTGGGATTTGGTCATATGGAGCTTTAGGATGTGAATGTGGGACCTGGTAAAGAATTGGTGAATTGCATAAAGGGTTAATAGAGAGACATATCTTAGAAGTTGTTTATAACACTAAGGGTACAACCAAGAATCATGGGGTGAAAATGAAGTGAGAATCAGACTGTGAAATTTACACACTGCGATGGTATGTGCAAGAGATCACACTGCAGTCTTCTAAGCTGGTCAAGATAGGGAGGTTTGTGAGCCAGCCTTTCAGCTGGTCTTTGTTCCATCCAGGATCATACAGGTTGCTGAGATCTGGACCATTGGGAAAGGAAGTCTTCTAAAGTAATTCTAGGGGATAATGACCTTGCGACAGGTTCTTAATGGTATGGGTGTGTTTATTATATTGAAATAAGTAAAATGTGGCTATTTTAACACAGATTATGTAGGCATAGTCCAGTGTTGGTCACCATCATAAACTTGCCCTAAGAAATTCTGTGTAGCCATTGCTGGAATGCAAGAAGGCACAAAGCAGTTGCAAAGAGGTTGCAGGAGACCAGGTACACTGAGGTAAAACTAAGGAAGAAACAATGGTGAAAACAGTCTTTATTGTTTATTATATGTACTGTAGCGCCCAAAAGCGCCCACTGTTTTGCCTTAGGTTCCTCTACCAAATAAGTGCAGGGGCAGCTGGGAACACAGCAACAGTCACTCTTTCCAGCTCAATGAACAGCTTGGGGGGGGGGGGGGGGGATTGGAGGCTTTATTGCTAAATTAACTTAGATAGTACTGGGAGGCTGCAGGATACTCCAGCAACACTGGAAAACAATATGTGGACACTCATCACTTTGTCAAAGCTTCTTAGTTCAGTCCTTCCAGTAGCAACTAAGGGAATGAGCAACACTGAGACACCGTAGGAAATATCCCAGTAGGAGAAAGCTCTGTCACTGATACATAAGGGATAGTAAAAGCAACAATCACTAGGATTCTACACTGAGGTCTGTACTCAAAATGTTCCTGGATTCTTGGATGCCTCCTTCCAATACCAGACAGACACTTCTCTTGTGAACTCTCCAGACCAAATCCTCAGTGAAATCCTTTAACCAGTTTCAGAAAGTTTCAGCAAACAGCCCCCCTCCCCCCAGCTTTAGAATAGCTAGGACCTCTATGAGCACATGCAGAACTACAGCTGGTCTGCCCAGAAGGGTAGCAGCCCTTCAAGCTGGGTACTTCTGAACAAGAACAGGGCTGTCTCAGGCCCCAGACTATTTGTCCAACCACCTACTGGGCACCTTTCCCCAGGTATTGTCTGAGACCACATAAATATTCAGACTGTGGTTTTGCCTCTTCCAGCCTACTACATTCTAGAAGGCAGGGTCAAGCAATCGGACCTGCAGCCAGTGAAGCCTAGAACAGCCCAACGCAATTACAAACTACCCCACTGATTACCAGGGAGCCAAAAAGACTACATTTACCTAAGCTTTCTAGCAACCTATCTAGAAGGGTGCTACATCTTAATGTTGATCATTAAGGGCCTAGACTATTGCAGTTTGGTAATGCGTGAGTTGTTCGCGAATGGCAATGCACGTTACATGCACATGTGTTGTGTTGCAAGTTTTGTGACCTGTCTGATTTTCGGGACTTTATGGTGTGTTAGCAGCTCCTTATTTTCAATAAGTTAATGGGCAACATAATGCATTTTTAACACAGTACAAAACTGCTTAGTGCCTCAGTAATGTTTGTAGAATAACAGGTGGCCTTGTTAAACCAAACTTTCCTGCAAACAGCATGCCAGCAAACACTATGAAGGCACACTAGAATAGATACGACACTTCCAAAATACCAAGAAAACTCTATGATTGGAAAAACAGAAGCACAGTATTTTAATCACCACACTTCTCATTATTAGCATAGTATTCACTGCTAAATACAGGTGTGCTTTAAAGAGTATAGCCCGTATCTCATCATTAGCATATTCAATGTACTACCATATGTGTATGTGGCATGTGTGTTTAACTCAGCACAATATCTTCTTCACATTCCTGACATATTTTGTGCTTATTAAGTATGCAGAGAGAGATCGCGCATATCAATGAGACACAAACCGAGCAGAGCATCTGTGTCCAAGAATATTCTCCTCAATAAATAAACCTTTAAATAAATGACACACTTAGTACCAGAAAAGGCGGATGCTTTTCTGCTTTAAATGATAACATTCGCTGGATATTTAGTATAATTGGGCAGCAATTTATTTCAGGAATAATTTTATCTGCATCATCTTTCAGTCTATTGCTATGTTACTAAGATAACAACCTCAGCCTCTGAACTGCAAAATAAATGTGTAGATGACTTTCTTTAGGTGTTTGGATGCCTGTGGAAAAATTGGGCACAGTTTTCAGCTTTTAGCTTTCATCCTCATTTTGTTTCAAGTTGGCAGATGAAAGCTAGAAAACAAATGATGAATTGATTCTGTGCAATTAACTGGTGATGCCTGATTGTTTCCTTGATGATGGATCTGGGTGCAGAAGAGTGGTGTGTGAGATGCAGTGTGATCATCAAGCTTCATGCAGGCCCGACCTGATAAAGGCTCCGGCAAGAACAAAGGAGAATGAAACGAGGCCAGAAATCCAGCAGCACTCCAGCTGGTACATGAGAAATGTACTGCATTGATTCAATTACCTGTGTTTCTCACCATCTGAATCAAACAGTCATGTAGAGAGTTCTGAAATTCCTGCCTGCTGAGTACACACTTCTCAGAGTCTTACGTTTTTGACAAAGCCAGGCAAAATACCAAATTCAGAAGGAAATGTGTTAAAATGAAAATCTTTTTTCTGATGTGCTTTTTGGATAGTGTAATATCTGAATAGTGTTTCTTAAAGGTAACAAGTCATGATTTACATTTTTCAGGAATCTGAAAATCCAATCTTTAGTTACTAGGCAGACATGTAAAAGGTTTGTATTATCAATTTTTTTTAACTTCACTTACTTTTTTGAGTCTGACACTTTAGCTTAAAGTGGACCTTCATCCCTTTTCTAATGCTCCTCTCTGCTTCCTCCTCCTCCCTCTCCATAACACAATTGCAAAACAGTCCTTCACTGGGAAGATCAGTATACTGCTTTCTTGTTGCCTTCTGCTGACATGCTCCCCTGCAGTCTCCACCCTCACTGCTCTAAGCCCCTTATGCAGCTGAGAACAGATCATGTGATCAGTTAGGGAATAAGAGAAAGAAAGGTATTCCTATTTTTTTTATATCTACACACATATATTTTGCCTTTCATTTGTATTATAATTAGTTTGGTTCTTTGGACATACTATACAAATTAAAAGAGTGAACCATTAATCACAAGCTGATGGTATGGTTCCTAGGCTCTCCGCTCTTACCGGGAGCCCGGGACTACAACCGCTGTTTGCAGGATGGAGAGTGGGAAGAGACCAAGGCATATCCATGCCTTAATCGTGCATGCAAATAAAGAAACCAGAAGCGACAATATTTTACTAACTTCCAATTTTGAATCCACCATTTTCTGGCCGGTACAGCCAGGGAGCACATCTAACCAAGCCGATCTGTGTTTGGTTAGATGGTTTGGAGGTGTGATGGTGTGATCTAATTGGAGTCTATTAGATCCCTAATGACTCCATAAAGAATACCTGTCACCTGCTCATTGCTATCACATGTGGTTTATTAACCCTTTGTGATAGCAAAAAAAGTAAAAATAAATATATAAATAAAAGAAAAACGTTTTAATGCAATAAAATTACAAGAAAATGTATAAAAAAAATAGCTGTAACCCCCATTGCATCACACACATGCTCAAATGCATGCTGAAGGTGTTAACAGATATGTGCACCACAGTCTTGGCATGTTTGGTATCCATTTACTCAACACAACTTCATCTTTTATATTTTACCAAAAAATTATGTATTATATTGTGTGTGTTTTGCACTAAAATTTGTTTTATTATATTTTTTCCTGAAAATTTATGTTAAACAGTTGCGCAAATATCATGTGACATAAAAAATTGCAAGTATCATCTTTTTATTTTACAGGGACTCTGCTTTCAGAAAATAAATAATGTTCTGGGGGTTTAAAGTGTTACTAAACATACAACAGTAAAATCAGTCTGTATATATAGTAAAGCATGCTTGGTATACGCACTGTGGAACCCAAATCAAATAAACTAAACTGAATGGATTGTTGTACAAAATAAGGGTTCACCTACACTATATTGCTAAAAGTATTGGGATGCCTGCCTTTACACGCACATGAACTGTGATGGTATCCCAGTCTTAGTCCGTAGAGTTTAATATTGAGTTGGTCCACCATTTGCAGCTATAACAGCTTCAACTCTTTTGGGAAGGCTGTCCACAAGGTTTAGGAGTGTGTCTATGGGAGTGTTTGAGCATTCTTCCAGAAACGCATTTGTGAGGTCAGGCACTGATTTTGGATGAGAAGGCCTGGCTTGCAGTCTCCGCTCTAATTAATCTCAAAGGTGTTCTATCGGGTTGAGGTCAGGACTCTGTGCAGGCCAATCAAGTTCCTCCAGCCCAAACTCATTCATCCATGTCTTTATGGACCTTGCTTTGTGAACTGGTGCTCAGTCTTGTTGCAACAGGAAGGGGCCATCCCCAAAATGTTCCCACAAAGTTGGGAGCCTGAAATTGTCCAGAATGTCTTGGTATTCTGACGCCTTAAGAGTTCCCTTCACTGGAACGAAGGGGCCAAGCCCAATCCCTGAAGAACAACCCCACACCATAATCGGGGGGGGGGGGGGGATTATGGTGTGGGGTTGTTCTGCAGGGATTGGGCTTGGCCCTTTAGTTCCAAACTTTACACTTGGCCCAATGCAGTCAGGCAAGTACCGTTCTCCGCCAAACCCAGACATATCTATTGGATTGCCAGAGAAGCATGATTCATCATTTTAGAGAACACATCTCCACTGCTCTAGAGTCCAGTGGTGGCATGCTTTACACCACTGCATATGACGCTTTGCATTGCACTTGGTGTTGTAAGGTTTGGATGCAGTTGCTCGGCCATGGAAACCCATTCCATGAAGCTCTCTATGCACTGTTGTTGTGCTGATCTGAAGGCCACATGAAGTTTAGAGGTCTTTAGCTATTGACTCTGTAGACACTTCTGCTATTGACTTCTGCACACTGTGCGCTTCAGCATGAGCTGACCCCGCTCTGTTATTTTTCGTGGCCTACCACTTTGTGGCTGAGTTGCTGTTGATCCCAGTTGCTTCCACTTTGTTATAATACCACTAACAATTGACCCTGCAATATTTATTAGCAAAGAAATGACAAGGATGGACTTATTGCACAGGTGGCAACCTATCACGGTACCACGCTTGCATTCATGAGCATGAGCTCCTGAGAGCTCCATTCTTTCACAAATGTTTGTAGAAGCAGTCTGCATGCCTAGGTGCTTGATTTTATACACCTGTGGCCATGGAAGTGATTGGAACACATGAATCCAATGATTTGGAGGGGTGTCCCAATACTTTTGGCAATATAGTGTATACTTTAATGCGCAGGAATGCCATGAGCCACTCCAGGATCCCTTGCAGTATTTCTGCGCATACATATGTTCCCGCAAATTGCCTCCTGGAATTCCTACATAACACATCCAGGAGGCAGCTTGCAGGGTCTTACACGTGTGCAGAAATGCCATGAGATCTGTCAGAAACCTGGAAAATATTTGGCAAAGATCCCTACAATGTGTCAGCGCTGGATTTCAATTCAAGATGGCAGCGCCAGAGAGGAGCAGTGTTGGGAGAAAGTTCCTTACAAGCAAGACAATGGTGTACTCCATGGACTAGTATATATGTTTTTTTTCTTACTGGTATACAGTGACAGGGAAAGGATTAACTTGTGCAGGATTATTGCACAGATCTACAGAATATACAGAAAGGACACCAAGACTCAAGTAAAAATACACATGGCACTTGTATTTAGACAATATTTGTTTAGCCCAGAGTTCAGCTTTAAAGTGTATCAAAAAAGCCCAGTATGGCATGTCAAGGTGTTGTCGGGCATATTATAACCAGGCTTTTTCATGGCATTGGCACAGTAAAGGCTTCTTTCTAGCAACTTGACCATTCAGCTCATTTTTGTTCAAGTATTGTCACATTATGTTCCTTGAAACAACTACACCATTTTTTCCCAGATCAGACTGTATGTCTCTTGAGGTTACCTGTGGGTTTTTCTTTGCATCATGAACAATTCTGGCTGTTGTGGCTGTAATTTTACTTGGTCTACCTGACCTTGACTTAATAAGTGATTGAACGGTAATGGTTGACATATTTAAGGTTTGGATATCTTTTTTTATATCCTTTTGCATCTTTATAAAGTTCCATTACCTTGTTACACAGATCTTTTGACAGTTCTGTTCTGCTCCCCATGGCTCAGTATATAGCCTGCTCAATGCATCCACATGAGAGATAACAAACTCATGGACAATTTATACACAGACGCTAATTGCAATTTAAAAAGCCACAGATGTGGAAAATCAATTGCCATTTGAACCTGAGTTTTTCATCTCAGGTCAAACGTTCCAGGGTATGTATACTTTTAATTAGGCCCATTTGGGTGATTTTTTTTGTCATTATGATTTAAAAAGGCCATACAACTATGTAATAATCAATATCCTTAAATAAAATACAGTTTTTTGGCATGATCAGTTATATTTTATCCTATCTATCTATCTATCTATCTATCTATCTATCTATCTATCTATCTATCTATCTATCTATCTATCCTGTAAGAGAAACATTGGCAAGCTGTTCATAAGACAAGAACAGTCCAAGCAAATTTGTCTTGCATTTCTTTTCAGCAAGGCAACAAACACAGTTTATAATGAAGGAGGGTTTTGTACAGCAAGTGTGTATCATAAAACAAACAAAGCATCTGCTTGTCCCAGTCAACAACTAAAACTTCCTGACTAACAGGGTGCCCCATAATGAGCTCCCCAAAACAAACAGACAATACTTGTGCCTTTTTAGTGTTCTGTCAGCATTCAGCCTTTCCACTCAGCAGTCCTTTCCCACAGTAGAGAAAGAACAAGGGAGAGACAGAGCTTTGAGAATCACTTCATTTACATATATAAAGGCTCCTGGACAGCTGAGACTATGGCTTTATTCACATAGAGTGTTTTAGTCAATGCCCTGTGCAGGTCCATGCCACTGCTTCCCAACAGATAGCATTGGGACTGCCGACACAGGGATGCATGCAACACCTGTGCATCCTCATGCCAGTAAAACATAGCCCTGCAAAAGCTATTAATTAAAATATCCTGTGTGAATAAGGTCTAATAATAGGGTATGGCTACCAAGCAAGATATGGACCTAGGAATGGAGGATTTATATCACCCAAAGCTCTACATAGATTCAGGACTTCAGGACCCATAACAGAGCTTATTGGAATTCTTAGAAAACAAAAAGTTTGTTTTCGCCACATCAGACAAAAACCCTGGAGCCCCTCTTTATGTGTAGGTGAGAAACACATACACATTGTCCACAATCCTGTCCACCATTGGCTACACACACACCCACACATAGAATATACACACATTTATACTTGAATCCTATATTTCATATTGACATATGTATGTTTGTGTGTATATGTGTATGAATGCAGGTGCTCACACTATGCTGTGAGCAATATACAGTATACTGTTGTGATTTTCTACAACCCCATATGTCTATGTGTTTTAACAGATGTACAGCTGCTCTGAAGAGAATAGCTGTAAATAAGTTATGCTCATATTTACAGACTGTTACATTATGCAGTATGTAGACCTCATGCCATTAATAAGAATGACTACATGAGTGCTGGGGGCTGTTTCAAATTACACAGGAACAGTGGCTAATTGGCCCAGCACCATCTTAAGGACCCGTTCACACCAAATTCGGTGCAGGAAATACATGTTTCTGTACATGTTTCCTGTACTGCCCTTGTTAGATACGTGTGGTAGCCATTAATTGCTAATAGCACTCCAAATGCATCTAGGAAATGTGCGTGTTGAGGCCACCAAACTGCATGGGACCGCAGTCCGATGCAGTTTGGTTCAGCATGATTTTATAAGTTGTGCCTGACATACTTTTTTGCATGCTCCCACACATTTGGCAGCCTGTTAAAATGAATAGGTTGTCAAACATGCACTGTGTGGGAACATACAAAACACACGCATTCTGATGTGAACCAGCCCTAAAAAAGCACATGATCTCAGCAGATCCTGAGAGCCTCAGCCAGCACCAGTACTTGAACAGCCACCTGCCAGTAACAGCTGAAACCCAGCAAGAAACCTAGGAGTTGAAATGATCCTTCTACAGATCCCCCATAGGAGCGCACTGTAAAAGAGAATGTAAACACAATGCTTCTGTATTCCGTATTGTGCTTATATCGGGAGAGTATAGATGACACAAGTTATATCATGGCACTTTCTGTTAGTGCAGAAGCTCAGGCAGAGCTCTCCCTTTAGCAGTATATCACTGGTACAGTGATCTATTAATGGCTGATTTCAAATAAAAGATCACTATTAGAAGTGATCTGTTGCTGCCAGGGGTGGACTGACAACTCATGGGGCCCCCAGGCAATAGGGGATTATGGGGCCCCTGTGTCCTTGCCCAAACTCAAAAAAGCCTATGAAAAAGGTACCAGGGGCATCTCATGGGGCCCCTACTGCCCCCGGGCCCTCAGGCAGTGCCCGAATTTTAAAATGGTCAGTCCGCCCCTGGTTGCTGCAGAGCTGCATGGGGGGGGTCTGGATTTTGGTTTCAACTTACCAGATCCAGATCCCCCCCATGAAAGAAAAAAGTACATGTGTGTGTGTGTATATAGAACAACTGTTTATCAAACCCCCTATTTTTGATCCACAAATAAATTTTAGCTCCCACTAACAGTTTTGGATAAAATATAACAGATGACATTATCCAACACGCTTTACAGTTGCCCACATCACTTCCACAAAATAGTCACTAGTCGGCCTATACAATTTCTGATGATGTAACACATATGTCAGTGGCAGTCAAGTGGTTAAAGCTCTATATGTCCTGAAAAAAATATACAACTGGGTAAGCTAAAATGTTAAAAGGTATGACAGGCATAGTATGCATTGACAATAATTTTTGGGTGTGCAAGAATTATTTACTTATAGACATAATAGGGCTGATTGATTGAAATAAACTGGGGAGTGCAAAATCTGGTACAGCTGTGCATGGTGGCAGGATCGGATCTAGCCTGTCTGATGTGGGGGTTGTAGTAAACAAAGTCAGGGGCAGAGGATGGGAGGTCAACAGGGTAGTGCATGGGTGGTCAACATGTCAGAGAATGGGCTAAGCAGTTTGCAAGGCATTGTGCAGGGGCCATTACTTTGTTGTAGGCTGTGTACAGGAGTCCACAGGGTGGAAGACAGGGGTCAGCAGAGCAGTGTACAGGAGTCAGCAGAGCTGAGGATAAGGATCAGCGGAGTTGAGAATAGGTTTCAGCAGAGTGGAGAGAAGGGTTTAGCAGGCAGGTGGACAGGAGTCACTGCTGGCAAGGCAAAGGACAGAAGTCACTTCTGGTAGGGCAGAGGATAGGGGTAATTGCTTTCAGGGTAGAGGACAAGGATGAATGCTGGCAAGGCAAACAACCGGAGTCACTTCTGGCAGTGCAGAGGACAGGGGTCACTGTTGGCAGGGCAGAAGACAGGGGTCAATGCTGGCAGGGCAGAGGACAGGAGTCACTGCTGGCAGGGCAGAAGACAGGGGTCACTGCTAGCAGATCAGAAGACAGGGGTCACTGCTAGCAGGGCAGAAGACAGGGGTCACTGCTAGCAGGGCAGAAGACAAGGGTCACTGCTAGCAGGGCAGAAGACAAGGGTCACTGCTAGCAGAGCAGAAGACAAGGGTCACTGCTAGCAGAGTAGAGGACAGGGGTCACTCCTGGCAGGGCAGAAGACAGGGGTCACTGCTTTTAAAAACATTTACAGACAGTATAGTGGCAGGTTAGAGCAGTACAGTGGCAGGTTAGAGAAATATAGTGGCAGGCTAGGGCTGTATATTGACACGTTACGGCAGTATAGTGGCTGGTTAGGACAGTTTTGTGGCAAATTAGAGCAGTATAGTGGTGAGTTAGGGCAGTATAGTGGTAAATTAGTGCAGTATAGTGGTGGGTTAGGGAGTATTGTGGTGGGTTTAGTGCAGTATAGTGGTGGCTTAGTGCAGTATTGTGGTGGGTTAGTGCAGTATAGTGGCAGGCTAGGTGTCAGGGCTCCAGGTATGACCAGAGGTTTGTGGACTAACACAGGGAAACGCAGGCTTCAGATATGGTATAAACAATATAATTTATTAAGACTAACAATACAAAACGCAGTGCAAAACTAAACATAAACACAGTGCAAACAAACCAAACCACCCACCGATAACAATACATACA